GGTTAAAGAAGATTATACGTGAAAACAATTAACTTATTACTAGCTAGTTGCCAAGGAATTACAAGGGTTCAAGCTACACGTGCCATGTTCTAGAGCAACATATGTAATGTTACTAGGTACATGGGTTATAAAAAAAACATTGTTACATTACGATGGTTGGAACGTAAAATACAAATGTATCGATTTTCGTTTTATGTAAAAAGTTATATATCTTGAGCCATAAACTCTAAGATTCTTTGATAAGTTCAAGAACAATACCAAGTCTATTTAATTTTATTACTTTTCGATTGATTAATTATTCCGTAGCTATTTTCTTATGTTTAACTCTCTCTCATAGATGGATTTTGTGACATTGCAAGTGATCATCATGATTTCGTAAGCATAAATTTTTTTCTATAAAATTCTGAATGACTTTGTTCACTGATCAACAATGTGTTTCAAAGAAAATTATGATGTCAAGCGATATACATATTAGTGAATTGGTTTTTTTTTATTGGCTACAAATTATGATGTCAAGCAATATACATATTGAAAGAATTGTACCTGTATATATATACATGGGATATTTTTTAACATTAAACTGTCTTTCATTAAGTCATGGCAGAAGCCAATAAATCATAATTGATTTAAACTTTTTTCAATACAATTATTAAATTTGTGTACCTAAATTTTAAATTGGCGTGGCCAATTCTTCCGAAGGAAAAGTAATCGGGCAACCAAACATATTGATAGGTACTTTTAGTGATCTCATTACTTTGAGAAGATCGATATATATACAACAATAAAATAAATGATATGTTCTCAATCCAGAAATGAAATGTGGCTATATCTTGAGCAATACTATATTTTAATTTTAAAGTAGCTAGATAATATAATAATTATAAGTAGATCATTTTAAGAAACTTAATTTTGTTAGGTTTAGTATCATGTTCCCAAACGAGATATTTGTTATAGGATTATAGCTCAGATGTTTGACCAAACCAGTTATTTCGAATTTTTATTTAAAAACTATATGATTTCGATGGTTGATTGATATAAATAGCTACGAACACACAAAATTTAAGATATTAAGTAAAAAGAAAACAAATAGTTGACAAACAAAAAAAAACAAATAAAGTGAGTTATTGGAATTACAAAATAGGACATATAAGATCGTAAGAGGTGTAAATTAAATGTGTGATTAATATAAAAAGAATCTCTTACAAGTGGGAAAAGTATATAACAAGTGTTGCATGTAACACTCAAACACACAATATTAACAAAAAGTCAATAGTAAAGACTAAAGACCAAGACTAAAACAACTTGCCAATCTTGTCTTTGTGAAACCAAAACTGCAGCAAACCCATAAAAAAAAGCTTCACCTTTCGATAATAAGCATTTATTAGAGCCAGATTGTTTATTAAGTACACTTAATTAATAATCATTTGATTATGTGTACTATAGTTGTATAAGATTCTAATTTATAGAAAAAACAAAAATTTCTCCCTAAGCCCACGACATTATCATCTCCCTTCTCCTCATATCCCAACCATCTCCGATCTGTATTCGTTGGACAAATCTCTGCGTTTTATATTTGATTCCAAGGCTTTTTATTGGCAACATTTGTATAGGAAATAAATAAATTAAAGGAATATTATCTAAGGAGATTTTTTTTTTTTTTTATTAAAGAGAGAAGAAACTAATTAGATAGTGGTAAAAGGACAATAAGGTCACATGAACTGAACCAGATTATTCATGTGGGTCCATCTAAATTGGTTCTCTTGCCCATATCTCTCCATCATTCTCATCAAAACATTATAACATTGCTCATTTTCTCTCTCTCTTACTCTCATTCTTCTTCTAAAAAAATCTTGAAACTTTTTTTTTTTTTTGGTATCTTGGATCTCCAAGAACTTGACTATTGCTGAAAACAGTGAGAGATAAGAGATAAAGAGAGATAGATTGGTGGTGAAGTTAGGCAAAACCCACTTTCTATTTATGTATAATTAGGTCAATCACATCACCAATTCAACTTTTTTTGTTTCTTCCTCTTTCCATTTCTTCTTCAATTCTCCTCCTCTCCTATCCAAAATTAGGGTTACTTTCTCAATTTCTCATCAGATTGTTGAATTCCATTTCAAAAACCAAATCTTGGACACACAATTAAAGAGATCTGACTTCAAGAAGAAGATGATGATGACAGATTTGTCTCTTAC